TGCTAGCAAAGAGCAAAAAGTGATTTTCAGAGATTAGTCCCAATTTACGTTGTCAGAACATTTTTAAAAAAACCAATTGGGAAAGCAGCGGCGTAAATATAGAAAGTTTCATTCATAAAAATTTCCCTTTAATTCAAATAAAAAGACACCAGATGAGCAATATTAGAGGTTATAAAAATGCAATTTTATGGGGAAAAGGCTGCAATACCCTATTGCTGTATCCTCTGTCATCAAAGCCCCCAAAAATGTAGAGCCTGCCGTTGATGCTGGCACCACAGCTGCCCGACATGGAGGTGGGCAACTCCCCTTCCATCAGGTGCATTGTCCTGCAATTACAAAATAAATACATTATTTAAACATTTTTCCAAGCTGCCAAAATGCAACAATCCCAAAGGGATTTATTCAGAGTTTTTAGGTTTAAAGGTGGAAATCCAGTTTGGGCCATAAGGAGGAGCTGCAGGTGAAGCTGGGCTCCTGAGGTGGAAGAGAAATCCCAGGTGGATGGTGGGTGTGTCTAAAGTATTTTGATTTTTCTGGAGGTGAAATTTACATTAGGAGAGCTTTAATAGAGCTGGAACATTGATTATACAGAATTATATATTATGGAAATATAATATAATATAATATAATATAATATAATATAATATAATATAATATAATATAATATAATATAATATAATATAATATATAACATATAACATATATTATTTTATAATATATATAACATATATTATTTTATAATATATATAATACATATTATATATATAATATACAATGTATATAATATAAAAATAATATAATAATAATAACAATAAAAATAACAATAATAATAATAATAATATATATACATATATACATATAAATATACATACATATATACATATACATATATACATACATATATACATACATATATATATATACATATATATATACATATATATATACACATATATATATATACATATATATATATAACATATATATATACATATATATATACATATATATATACATATATAAAAAATATATAATTATATAATATGGAAATATTATGAACTCCAGGAACTCCTGAGATGGGAATCTGGCAGGGCTGGGATGACAGAAATGGAAAAGTAAGGAGAGCTCAGGCAGGCCAGGAGATGCTGGGGAAATAAAATCTGGAAAATTCTGT